CCAGGGTGGAGCGTCGGTGGGGAAGCCCAGGAAGACACAGCGGAGAGTGCGAGGGGAGAGCTTGCTCGCTTTGGTATCGCGAACAAGGGAGAGCGCGCCCCAGACCCGAAACGACGACGCATCACCAGGCTGTCCCGTCCAACGGAGTGTGGGCGAGGTCTCTGGAGCAGAGACACGGGGCCAGAGGTTGAGCTGATGCGCGGCGTATCGGACCGCAAACGGCCACAGGAAATGGGGAGCAGCCGCATGGATCATGGAGGTACGAGCAACCTCCATGATCAGGCCAATGCGACGCTCAGCGATCCCATTTTGCTGCGGAGAGGCCGGAAGCGTGAACGACTGGGCGATGCCCTCATCCTGGCAGAACGTCTCAAGGACGCCAGAGCTGAACTCACCACCCCTTTCAGAGTGCAGACGCAGGACTGGGAAGTCCTGCTGAAAGCGCTCGTGCAGCTGAAGACGAGTAGCACGGATCCAGGGGATCAAAACACCACTGACGTCCGCCTTGCGACGCAAGGGGAAGACGGTGGTGTAGCGTGTGTAGTCGTCAACAACCAGCAGGAAGTAGCGCTCCTGGTCCGTTCCACCGACGGGGGCCGGGCCCCACACGTCCAGGTGGAGAGTCTGCAGAGGAGCAGTGGTCGGAGGAAACTCGGAGGAGTGAGGAGCGGCGCGCTGCCGCCCCTCGACGCAAGGAAGGCATGGCGGCGCAAGCGAGCGCGGGAGGGGGGGCAGGGTCTCAGGGAGGCCAGAGACCAGGAGCCGGGAGTGCATGCCGCGCAGACGCAGCTGCGACGGGTGGCCAAGACGGTGGTGCCAAAGCTGCGCAGGGTGGGTGAGGAGGCGACACGAGCAGGACGCAGCGAGCTGACCAGACGCAGCCACCTGACCAGACGCAGCTACCTGTGCAGACGCTGTGGTGAGTGTGTACAGGTTCGACCCCGGCTGCCGTGTGAACGTAGCCAGGTGACGGCCTGTCTTGGCGCATGTGCAGATCGCCACACGCTGACCTCCAGGAGTAAAGGTGTCAACCCATACATCCTGGAGGATGGCGTTGCTCACCAGGTTCGTCGAGAACGAGGGGAGGTGGAGGCCTGACAGAGAGCCAGAGGGGACAGCTGGGCACGGGAGGACAGTGGAGTGGCGTGCAACCACCGGGCCCCCAGAGGGGTCCGCCAGTGAGACTGGGACTGGTGTAGTGAGTGGGGTGACAGTGGTGCAGTCGCGAAAGAAGCAACGTGACGCACCAGAGTCAAGTGTGAAAGTGTGCAAGACCTCAGCAGTAGCAGCAGACTCACTAGCACCTCGGGCAGTAGCGACACTAGCACCTAGGGCGGCAGCAGACTCACTAGCACCTGGGGGAGTAGTATCACTACCAGCATCGTATGGCACACACGAGTAACACGCACCCTCAACACTATAATCAGCAACATACATAGCATAGAGAGCAGCATTGATCTTAGCAAAGTCAAGAGCAAACACATCTACCCCCTTCCCCATCAGCTGCAGCCAGTTCGGCACCTGCTGGTCCTCGCTGTACTCAGTCACCCAGGCGTCCTCAAGACGGCCGAAGCACTTGTACTCAGTGTGCGGCTTCCAGCAGACTGTGCCCTTCAGAAGCCCCGTGCGCCGGACATAAGGGCAGCGACCAGAGCCCCCAGAGCCCCCACGCTGGAGAACCCACTCACGGAGCTGCTGGTTGGTGGGGTTGTCCGGGAGGCGCGGCAGCTGCTGACCACTCCCGTAGCCACGGGAGGGTCCACGAGCGCCACCACCCCTGCCTGACCCACCCCGACCTCCTCCGCCTCCCCCGCTACCCCAACCGCCTCCCCCACCACCGCCGCCTCCTCCACCCTATCCGCCTCCTCCACTGCCGCCACCCCCAGAGCCACCCCCAGAGCCTCCACCACCCCCGCCACCACCCCCGCCACCACCCCCGCCACCCCCTCCGCTGCTGCCACTACCACCACCCCTGCCCCTTCTGCCCTTGCTGTTGTTGCGCCTTCCACTGGGAGCAGACGCAGCGCCAACGTCCTCAGCACCAAGGAGGTCGACTGCAGCAGCGGTAGCAACTGAGGGGAGGAGAGGGGAGGGAGTACACCCTTCAAAGAAGGGGGAGCGGGGGGTGCCACGAGAGGCAGCGACAGCGACAGTGCTCTTCTCAACCTCAAGAAGGGCCTTCTCAAGCGAGTCAAGTGTGAGCTCAGTGGGGTCCATGGCTAGGAACTGGTCCCTGACAGTGCGAAGGGAGTCAGGGAGGCGAGTGATAAGAAAGTACAGGGTGAAGTATTGCGGGGGGGGGTTCTTAGCGAGAAAGGCCGGCTTGAGAGCGGCACGGAAGCGATCCTCACTAGAGCGGAGGTAGGTAAAGATGTCAGGGACAGTGCGGAACTCAGCTAGATCGGGATGCAGGTACGGCAGCATGAGACGGCCTACAGCAGCAGTAGCTGGGGAGGAGTAGCGAGAAACTACAGCGTCATAGAGATCCTTGGCCGTTTTCTGCCGGCTAAAGTGCGTGCGCTCAGTGACGGGCAGGTGGTTGCGGACAGCAAGGCGGGCAGCTGCATCACGCATAAGCCACTTAGACAGATCCTCTACAGCGTCGGCAGCAGGGGCTGGGAGCTTTCCCTCAGTGTGTAAAGACAGGGAAATGCCATCCTTAGACTCGCTCTGCAGGAACAGCTGGAGATCGTCGAGCCAGACATCAAAGGTAATCGCATGGCCCTCAGCATCGAACGTAAGGACTGACAGGTTAGCCATAGCAGCAGTAGCAGTGCCAGTAGTAGCAGCTGTAGCAAGGGCAGTAGTAGCAGCAGCAGTAGTAGCAGCAGCAGCAGTAGCACTAGCTGTAGCAGCAGTAGTTGCAGTAGCAGTGCCAGTAGTAGCAGCTGTAGCAAGGGCAGTAGTAGCAGCAGCAGCAGTAGCACTAGCTGTAGCAGCAGTAGTTGCAGTAGCAGTGCCAGTAGTAGCAGCTGTAGCAAGGGCAGTAGTAGCAGCAGCAGCAGTAGCACTAGCTGTAGCAGCAGTAGTTGCAGTAGCAGCAGTAGTACTAGCTGTAGCAGCACTAGTTGAAGTAGCACTAGCAGTGACAGCTCGGGCTGGGCGGCGCGGCTCGGACACAGTGGCAGAGCAGCAGCGGCACGTAGCAGTAGCAGCCGGCGCACAGCAGCAGTAGGCGCGAGCGGGCTGTGACCTAGCAACCTAGGGGCGCGCAACAGGTGCGCGCGGAGCAGCTCAAAAGGAGCGCGCAGCAGGTGCGTGCTAGGGGCTGGCGGGCAGCGTGAGTGGCGCGCGCAGCAGCAGGAACGAGGGGGGACCGGGCGTAGGGGCTGACGGGCCGCGCGAAAGGCGCACGGGGCAGCTAGGGCGCGGTCAGGGGGGGTCGCACGTGACTAGGCAGAAAAATCGCGCCTAGGGCAGAAAAAAGGAACCGTCTCGCCTAGGGCACGTTTTCGCATTTCGCGTTTCTCCTAGGGGCGCGACTCGGGCAGCAGATCGAAATAGTAGTGGTGGGCCCTTTTAAAAATTCGGTCCTAAGGAGCATTTTGCTCTTAATACCATGTTAGAATCAGTAGCTAGGTGAGAATGTCGATTAGGTAAGGGAGGGGGATACAAGACTATCGAGTGTGAAATGTTGTACCCTCTAAGGAAAGAACCCTACACAACCTAGAGTGAAATGAACAGAACAATATGTTTTGACACTGAGCTTCATTTAATATCACACATGGCGTTTGTCATACGCCATCACACGCATCAGCCCCACCCCCTTGTTTGCTGTTGCATTTTTTCCTGCTAAGTTGCACGCACTGCATTCTGACGTCCATGGTACCAAGTCGCAATCGTCTGTGACTTATTTGACATGTTTCATTCGAAACATGAACCTAGCTATTCCCATTTTCTCCCTCCCTCCTCATTTGGTCCCTCCTCCCTACCTCCAAAAACGCCCCTTGCTTGTCCCAAAGGCTGCAATGACGACTGTGGGTCGGTTGCTAAGTGCATGGTGAGGGATGGCAAGAACGAGTGTGTGTGCCCTGAGAAGGATCAACTCTACCACGGCCAGCTCAAGCAGTGTGTTGCGCCCCAACCCTATAAGCCGCGCGATCCTCCTAAGCTCTATCGGCTCAGCTGAGGGGTAAAGGGGTAAGGGGGACGGGGTAAGGGGGTAAGCGCGTGTTGTGCCCCAAATGTATAAGCCACGCGAACCGCCTACCCTCCATTGGCTTAACTGAGGGGCTGGTCAGATTGGCAAGAACTGTGAGCACGTGGGGACACACATTGCTTGTGTTGCATACATCCCAACCCCCAGCTGAATGTGTTTGGCATGACAAGCCTCATACGGTACCGGTATCATGCTTGCCGTTTGCAGTGGATTTGCCCTTTCCCCATCCATCCACTCTCTCTATCTATAGTGTTCTCTCCAGCCCACGAGGAGCATCTGTGAAGGGGCTCAAGGGTTAAACGGGGTAGCGTAGCACCACCTCCATTCTCAGCCTCATGCCTTTCTTTGCTGCTGCCTTCTCTAGGGCACCTCTGCTATTACGGTACAAGGGAGGGTTCATGCTACAAACTTGTGGCTTCGTGTGGGCTTTGATTTGTGGGTTTCTTACGGTGGTAGTGACTGCATTGTACACAACGTAATTATGGTGACTTGTGCTTGCACTGTGTTGTGGTCATACGGTTGTTTGGGCAAAAAAACGAATCAAGAGCAATGGGTAGAGCACAGGCAGAGAAACATCCCCTCCCAATTGGGAAACGGAAGCTAGTCAGAGTGGGGCAGCAGCAGCATCTAAGGGATTCCTCCTTATTCCTTCACCCTCATCTAGCTGGTATTCCTTCACCTACTCCCTCATCTAGCTGTACCCACCCACTCGCCCTGCTGCTTGTGCAGCTCGAGCACCATCACCACCATCCCGCCCATCCACCCCTTCTCCCTCCTTGTCCGGAGCGTCGTGCTTCGGCTTCTCGCACACCACCCCTACCAGGAACAACCTTGACACCTCCTACTCCTGAGCACCACCAGCACCACCATCTGCCGCCTCCACACCCTTCCCCTCTCCCCCCCTCCCCTCGCCCCCCTTGGCCGGGGCGTCCTGCTTGGCCTTCTTCCTGGTGGCAGCGGCCTCCCTGCGCTCCCTCTTGAGCCCCTTCATCTTCATCAGGGACATCGACCCCACCTCCTGCTTCGGCATGTAGATGCGCCCCACCTTGCCCTTTATCATGTCCGACTTCACGTTCTTGATCTGCCGGGGGGAGGCAGGGAGAGGGCAGGATTGGAAAGGGGAGGGTGTGGTGTTGAGAAACGTGGGCTCTTGACAACACCACCTGCTTCGGCATGTAGATGCGCCCCACCCTGCTCTTGATTATGTCCGACTTCACGTTCTTGATCTGCAGGGGAAGTGTGAGTGGATGGGGGGAATGACGGGTGGCACAGAAAAGAAGGGGGTGTAGTGGTGTTGAGAGGCATTCATCCCACCTCCTGCTTCCCCACGAACCATCGCCTCGGCATATAGAGCGCCCCACCTTGCCCTTGACTATACGCGACCTACCAGCGTGAAGACCTTTTTGAGTCAACAAAAAATGTGAAATCTGCACTCGTGACCTCATTCCCGGCCTCCCCTTTCCCCCATCCCCTCCCCCTCCCATTCATCCATCCCCTTCCCCTCCCCATGCCCCCATTCCCCACCCATTCCCCCGCGTCCATATGCCCCCACGCCCCCCATGCCCATTCCCATGTTCCCCCGTTCCCACTTCCCTCCAACCCCTCCCCTTCCCCCAGCCTCCTCACCTTCTTCTCCTGCCCAAGCTTCACTGCCCGCATCGCCTCCTTCCTCAGCTCCTCCCCGGGCAATCTCGTCCGTCGGATCTCAAAATCAATGGACGGCCCGATGGGCACCAGCACCACGCGAGGCACCTTAGTGCCTGAGCGCTTTAAACGGATGGCACAGTGGCGAAATAGGACCTGCGGGGAGAGGGGGCATGAGGAATGGAAGCAGGGGTGGAGGAAATGCGAAAGCCAAGGGGGGGGGGGTTGAGGGGTGGAAGAAATGGGGAGAATGGGCAAATTGGAAAGGGGAGGAATAGACTAGTGGTGGTGACACCAGTTAGCAACTTAGCACCACCCGCGGCACTTTGGTGCCCGACCGCTTGAGGGAGATGGCACAGTGGCAAACCAACACCCGTGAGAGAGGGGAGCGGGGGGAGGAGGGAGTGGGGAGAAGGGAGAAGAGGAGGTGGAAGAGCACCTAAGGGAAGCAGGGGAGGGTGAGGAAGGGTGGGGGCCAGCGGAGATTGGGGAAATGACAAGGTGGTGGGAAAAGAAGATGGAACAGAAGGAAAAGGCTTGTGGTTGAATAGAACCAGCGAGCCAGCACCACTGGCAGGTGGTTTTGAGAATACAGCAAGAGACACCTTGGTGCCACTGTCTGATCGCTTGAGGCGGATGCAGATCTCATCTCCATGCTGCGATTTCAAACACTTGCAGGAAACCTTGTCACTGACCTTGCCGTTTTGAGCGGCGCACACAAAGACTCTGTCGAGGCCTGCCAGGTCGACTGTTGCTGCCACCTGCCAAGGCAGAGGAAAGAGCAGGAGGAATGGCACAAGCATGTAACAGAATGGGTGACAGGGGAACAGGGACATGGAAGTCGTGAATGGGAATGATGTTTGGGGCGCCTAAATATTAAAATGATATTTTTAAGCACTTCAAGAGTTGTGAGCGATTGTAATAAACAAAAAAAATGATGTAATTGATAAACGCAAAAGAATGTCTCAAAACAGGCAGTAAGGCAGACAACCAGACAGGCAAACAGCCAAGCAGCCAGACCCACCTCTCCTCTGAAGAAGTCCAGCAAGAGGCTCTTGAGCTGCACTGCTGCTGGGTCACTGTCGAATTCAGCTCCAATGAAGCAAAAGCACGGCTTGGAGCCCACCTGGGGTGAGGCCGAAAGGGGGGAAGGGGGGAAGTGGGGAAAGGGGGAAGGGGGGAAGGGGGGAAGGGAAAAAGGGGAGGGAAGGGCGGAAGGGGAAGGGGGGAAGAAAAAAAGGGGAGGGAAGGGGGGAACGGGAAGGGGGGAAGTTGAGGGAATGGGAAGGAGGGAAAATAATATTTTCAACAAGCTCCTTCTCCCCCACCACTCCTCAACTATTGAAGCGCTTCAAGCATCAACCCTTTGCTCCCTAACCCCTCCCCTCCCCCTCACCCCTCCCCTCCCCTCCCCCCCCCCCTCTCTTTGACACCCACCTGTGGGGAGAGCTTGCCGCCTCCTTTGAGCTGTTGGATGCTGACGTGGCGCGTGACCCCCACCTCGAGCATGTCGTACAGGTGGTAGTCGTACATTCGCCCAATGACTAGATTATGGGGGCGCTTCTTGGAATGCGAGGCGAACTGGAGACACGATAGGCACGAGGGAGGGGGGAGGAGATAGGGGGGAAGAAGAGGAGGGGAGAGGTGGGGGACGGAGGGAGGGATTGAATCGGGAGAAAAAGAGGGAAGATGGCGTTGATGCGCGTTACCCTCAACTCTCGGTTCAAACACTCGGCCCTCACTATCAACAACCCTATTGAAAACCTGAAAAGCCCGACTCTCCAAGCCCTAAGTGTTCCCCGTCTGTTATCTTCGACAGCTGCTCCAGAGGAGCCTCGCCGCCCGCCTCGAAGGGCCGCCCGTTCTCGTTCGCGTCTACTTATTCGACCCAAAACACCCCAAACACTAAACCCCGAACCCCGAACCCTCATCCCTCACCCCTCTCCCCGCACCATGAACAGGCTGCTGTCCGTTTTCTTCGCCAGCTGCTCTAAAGGCGCCTCGCCACCCGCCTCGAAGGGCCGCACGTGCTCGTTGGCGCGCGAGAGCTTCAGCGAGCCCCCGCTGAACCGCTTCAGATGATGCACGTCTGACATTACACCGTTCAGGATCGCACTGGACCGAGTGCCGCGCAGCAGCAGCGCCTGCCGGACGTTCTCTTTCTGGTGAAGGGATACGGGGGGTTTGGGAGGGGTGGGAAGGGAAGGAAGGCCGGAAGGGGAGGGGAAAATGGAGGGGGAGGGGGGAGGGAAGGGGGAAGGGAAGGAAGAGGGGGAGCGAGAGGGGGAGAGAGAGCGGGACGGGGGGAAGAGGAGAGGGTTTATGTTGGGGCGCACACGAGTCGCACGTGCGGCTATTGCGTTAACTCGGGCAAAAAACGTATCGCCAAGATGGAAATCGAAAACCAAACACCATTGGGTCAAGGGGAATTATGAAATATGTACACAGCGCACTATTTCAGACTCAAAAAGACTAAAAAACGGAACGACATTATTAAGTAGCGGCACTAAGGGGCGCCGATCCACGAGCGGCAGTTAAGAACGGAATTAGGAACCGCATCTTAAAGGAACGTACTATCTTGGGTGCGCGAGAATCTAGAACGAGCTTCCCCTTCCTCGTCGTAGCCCTCGAAGCTTTAAACATGGCTGCTGCCTCGAGACGTCTCTAAACGAATCTTTAGATCACGCCGCTATTCCCCTGACCGTCAAATGCTCCTTTGGCCGTCGAATGTTCCCGCGCTTGTTGGAGCAGATACGGCACGCCGCTGTGATTGCCTCAATTTCCTACGAGTCTGTCTCCCGTGGCTGTCGGTTAAGTTCACTCTCGGGTCAACTCAAAGGTACGGTGCGCCGCTGTGAGTGCCTCGCTTTTATCAAGGTGGGAAAATTCAGATAACAGCGCCCGAAGGAGATAATGTGGGGGACCACTGATGAAATGAAGTTATTGATTTATGTATACTGAAGCGGCAACCAACGAACTGCGATATCGAGTGTAACCGTCATAAGAAAGAAACGGTGCTCGTTGAAACTAGGAGACGGCGATTCGGCAGGGGTAAAGCGTAAGGAGACGACGAGGTTTAGGACGTGAAGGGAAAGTAGGGTGAGGCGGATGTGTGGGTGCATGATCTTACAGCGCGTACAAAATGAAGGGCGATATGCATTTGTTACACCGTTGATTGCGCAAAACGGCGAATTTGAAATGTTGGTGAACATTCGTATTTTCGGAACTTCAAGATATTCACCAAATCAATCGGCGCTTGCAATCTCCTGCTTGGGTTCTGTAGCGCGTATGACGATTTGAAATTTCGAACTGACTCAAACGTGGTGCCATCTCACCTTCAGCCTCGAAGAAGCAAGCAATCAACTCTTCACATCAGCGCTCTTCACATCAGCCCTTCCTCATTATCTTGACGCTTCCTCGGTATCTATTGCTCCTCCATTCTCTTCATAGCCTCTCACTCAGTCCGAATCCGCTTGGTGCCGCTTGCGTCTCCATCCTGGTTCTTCATATCCGGCATATCTCAGTGACTCGACGAGTTATCGCATTTCTTTCAGACCTGCTACTACAGCACCGTAGACGCGTTTCCAGGCGTCTCAGTGACGCACGCAATTTCCTGCTCAATTTACTTGGCCGTACAGCGCGTATTCTAGCGGCGCGCATAACGCGTATTGCACATAGCGCGTATATCGCAGTCGAGGTACCCGGTACATCGCAGTCATGAGCGCCGTGACCATCACGCAAGTGAAGGTGCTCGACAACCCCGGGCCGTTCCTCTCGCCGCTCCGCCTCGAGATCTCCTACGACTGCATCCGACCGTTGGAGGACGGTACGTGCGCCGCCAGGGTGCTGTGACTGGTGAATGATACGGAAGCATGAACCTCAAAGTACGGAAGTCCGCATGTAGGCCCGTACCAGACTTCCTTTCTAACGGATCAAGATTTTATGCTCGCGCACCACGAGCTGGTTCTGAGAACGTCATGTTCGACCCGGTGAAGCGTTGCATTCCTCGAGCGTCGTTGTTGCCTCATTCCCATCGCATCCACCTTCCCACAGGCTGGCAGAGACTGAGTCGATCGGGTATGTGGGATCGGCCAACGACCTTGCGTACGACCACGTGCTAGAGGGCGTCATGGTCACCACCGTTAAACCACCTCATGCTACCGCACTCAACTCCTCCATACCCCTGTCTCTTCAGATTTGGAGTGGTCGATCGTGTATGTGGGATCGGCCAACGACCCGGCGTACGATCAGGTGCTGGAGAGCGTTTTGGTTGGCCCAGTCAACGTTGGCAGCTTCAGGTTCATCCTCGAAGTAAGCTTCCTCGTCAGTTGTGTCAAGAGTAGAAATTGGCATGATATTAAGGTGTCTATCAGAGTCTCCTATTGAAATGCTTTCTCGTTATGTGAGCTAGTGGCAAAAGTGAGGCCAACTCAATTCTCAAGTTTCTTGCCTGTTAATTTCTCACGCGTTGCTGCCTGGTTGCCATATCCATTGCTTACTTGACCACAGGCAGGGCCCACCTGAATTGGTTTGTGAGGTGCTTCAAACGTAGATACACATATGTTGCTGCTTTCACTTCCGTCTCCATTGCTTCCTTATCTGCAGGCAGACCCACCTGAAGTGTCCAAAATTGCGGAGGGCGAGATCCTAGGAGTCACCGTTCTGCTGCTCACATGCGCATACCGAGAGCAGAAGTTTATCCAAGTGGGGTATTATGTCAATAACGAGTACGCGGACGAGGAGCTACAGCAGGAACCCCCTTCCAAGGTCGTGTTCGATAAGCTATCGCGCAACATCTGGGCTGAGAAGCCCAGAGTGACAAAATTTGCCATCAACTGGGACCCTGTGGGTGGGTCAGGGTACGAGGGAGGCTCAGGGTGTGTGGGAGACGCGATGATGGAGGATGGAGATAGAGGGACCGGGTATGGTGGGGAAGGCGAGCATCGGAGCTTTGGTATTGGATCAGAACCCGCCCCTTGGGTTCCGGGTGAATCAGTTGATGCCGCAGCAGTGGAAGCAAGAGATGAAGCAGTTACTGACGCAGCTGTTACCGAGGCAGTGGCTGGTTCAATTGCCGGGGATGGAGCAGGAAATCTGGAAGTAGTGAGTGTTGCAGGGAGCACAAAAGCCACAGAGGGTGCAGAGGCTACAGAGGTAACAGCAGCTGGGGCTGCAGCTGTGGGCCGGACTGAGATGGATGTAGGCTCGGAACCAGCATCTGGTGCAGGTTTGGAAAGTGGTTCGGGGGAAGTTGCTCCTCCTGCAGTTGATGTCACGGATGGTGATGGCGTGTGCGCGTCGGATATGCAAGATATGGATGCAGAGGCTCTGTTTCAAGGCAGCCTGAGGGTGCAGGAGAGCTGCTGACTGTGTGAAGGGTGTAACATGTATACATATTGTACCCAGAACAAGGCAAGAACCAGCTGAATAGGTATGTTCACCTCCGTTGTACTGAAAAACAGTCTGATAATGGGCAGTGTATCTGTCCATAAATAATGGACCAGATCCACGGAATCAGTTGTGGTACTACCAGTATTGGTACCTTGTTTTGCTTTAGCAGATACCTAACAGCAGATGCGAGGACTTATATTTATTCAACACAACACAAACCCACATTGACACTAAACGCAAAAACTAGAACCTCCAACGGTACGAATTGCACCCATCAGGTAGACGAAGTTGGCCTTCATCATCATGCAACTTGTCACAGCCACGAGTATTGAAAATCACCAGCAGCTTCAGCTCTCCCAGATCTTCAGGTAGAGCCTCTAGCTCTTTACAATCCTCCAAATCCAGAATCTGCAGCCTGCTGAGCCGAGAGAAGTTGGGAGGAAGAGAAGTGATGGAGCCGTGGTGGACCCTTAGCTCACAGAGGCAAGACAGCTGAGTGAGGGAAGCGGGGAGGTGAGTGAGAGATTGGGAGTCGGACAGAATCAGCTTGCATAATCTGGTGAGTGCCATGAATGAATCAGGAAGTGAGGGGAGCTTGGGAGCTCTGATCTCCATGTATGTGAGCTTCTGCAGGGCTGCAATAGTCGGTGGGAGATCGGTCAAGTTCGGCAAGAGTATTGCTAGTTGACGCAACTCTTGCAATGACGAGCCGGAAAAATCTGGAAGCTTCATGACTCCAGTGCTTAGGATTGACAGGGTGCGGAGGTGAGGAATAGCCGTTAATGGAAACGGGAACTCCTCCTCCCAAGCCAAGTACAGCTTCAAGTGGTCCAGAGAGGAAAGGCTTCTGGAGAGTGCGGAAGGGAAAACCACCATGTACAGGCTCAGTTTCTTCAAGCACGGAAGACTGTAGGCACCTGGCAGACGGGTGACCTGATGTAAACTCCCCACGCTGAGAGCTTCCAGCGACCCGGGCAAGAACTCGGGAGCCTTTCTCAGCAACCCACAGCCGGCCAGCTCCAACTCCTTCAGCCTCGTCAGGTTCACAAGACTCCTAGGTACTGAGAAAAGGCTGCTGCAGTTGTCAACCTTGAGAATTTCAAGGCCCAGGAGGGCTGAAACGGAGTCTGGAAGCTTCTGGATCTGCGAGCAGGCCTGAATGTAGAGCTCCCGCAGGCCTCTCAGCTCCCCCATCGCCTCTGGGAGCTCTGCCAACGCGCAGTCCTGCAGCTCAAGCCTTGTCAGTGACGCTAGGTGGGTGAAGGAGGAGGGGAGCAGATGGTGTTGCTGGTACGATTTCAGGAAGAGAGTCTGCAGGTTGCTGAGCTGTCCAATGTCGTCAGGAAGGATCACAGAAGGTGAGCCGGCAAGGCACAGCGTCTTGAGCGCAGTGAGAGCGCCGAACCCTTCTGGTAACTCGCGTAGGTGTGGGCAGTCTGTGACTAACAGCGTCTCTAAAGATTGTAGCTGGCTGCACGAGGCAGGGAGGTCGACACTGAGTTTGTGCAGCACGAGCGTCTTCAGCGCGAGCAGCTCGCCAAGATCGTGAGGCAGAGCGGCGAAGCTGCAGTCGGAGAGCTTCAGGCTGCGCAGGTCGGTCAAGGAGGTGAGCTGCTCCGGTTGCTCGAAGAACGATCTGCAGCTGCTGATGGTCAGCTCGCGGAGACGCGGCAGGCGGTCTTCAAGGTCGCTGGGAAGAGCGGCGAGCTCCTCGCACCGGCTGAGCGTGAGGCTTTCCAGGCGGCTGCACGGCGATTCTGCGGGAAACATGATGTCGAACGGTGGACAGCTGTCACCCAGATCCAACGACTTGAGGGACGGCAGATGCGCGAACGAGAACGGACGAGAGGGCAGCGGCCTTGGTTGAAATTGAGAGATCCTTTCCGATATGGAGAGATGGGTGAGGCTTGGGAGCAAAGCAAGGACCTCCAGATCCTGAAACCAGATCGCCGCGTTACGGGAGAGAGCGGTGAGAGAAGATAGATTCGTTAGTCCGGGAGCCGTTAACGCCGACCGATCGGCGATGGCGAGCGAGCGAAGGTGCACGAGCTGAAAGATCGAAGGTGGGAGCACGAGACAACTGGAGAGGCATCCCAGCGATAGATGCTCCAGCCGCGTGCACCGGCGGAAGAAAACGTCCAAGCCATCACCGGTCAGCAACCTCTGGCCCTCGTCCTCCTCCTCCTCCTCGTCCACGTTCTGCTCGATCCCTCCCCCGAGGTGGAAAGCCCTCAGATTAGGGCACGATGACGCGAGGTGAGTGAGAAACGCGTCGTCGATGGTCTCCAGGCTGCTGTCGTTGAGGTGAAGGTGTGTGAGGTTTGAGAAGCGGTTGAGAGCGGCGGTCAGATCCTCGCGTGAAATGCCGCATCTTTTCTTGACGAGAAGCGTCGAGACGTGGCGCTCAGCTAGGCGACGCCAGCGACGGCAGACCGACGCGACGAGGAGGTTATAAGCGGCGTCGGCGAAATCTGGAGGTAGATTCGGGTTTGGAAACAAGGGTTCGCTCTGCTGGTACGATGGCTCGTCTGCATTTTCGTGGATAAACCGCGGGGTCGGCCACACGGACGCCCACACATTGTCATCGTCGGACTGGCTGGAGAAGAGATGCTTAGACGGCCATAATATTGCAACCAGAAGCTCGTCGGGAAGGTTGTTGATGTGCAAACTCGTCATAATGACTCGGCTTTCAGATTGTTTTGAGAGATAAGGCTAGAGTGGGAAAGTGCGCTCCTGCCTATATTCGAAAATCGCCCAAATCCAAAACCCGCAGCTGTTGAAAATGGTGGCGTCTGTCTTGGCGCTGTGTCTGTGGGTTCCTCTCTGCTTGCGTCGACTGCTCCCTGGTCTCTGCTCTCTACCGACTGACTGCTGTGCTCCCCACTCTCAGCTCAGCTCACTCCGCTCACCTCGTTTCTGTTCCCACTTCCACCTCCTTCCCTTTCTCACGTGTGACATCTTAGATGGCGTTCCTGAGATGGGGCCCCATCCGAAGTTCCCCCAGCTACAGTGCACGAAACACGTGTTTGGGACCACGTTTGAACCGATATTTTTGAAGCATGTGTTCGGGGTGGGCACACGAAAATGAGTTTAGAACGATTTTGAAATTGATGGGGTTACACCCACCGGATTGGGTTTCATGATTCGCTCAAACTCGTCTAGCTGTGTATCCACATTCGTATGGCACGTGTGGTGGGTGTGACCCATATCGAATTCTGCCACGCGGACCAATGGTGCTGCACTTCGATGGGGCCCCATCTCAGGAACGCCATCTTACATTTCTTACGAATCTCGTTTTACCATCAGCTCTCCCTGATTTGCGTTTCGCGAACGGTCGGCTGAATCGAGTTGCGAAACTTCGGCAATCCCTGGAATCTGGGAGGTTCTTGTAGAACCGAGGGGAGAAGACAGCTGGAGTCAATCAGAGTGGTTCGTGCATACCTTGGATTGGTGGACCAGGGAGATCGCAAACACCCTTCGTTCCCCACCACAAACAAATGGGTCCCTCGAGCTTGGTTCAGTCGGTGTCCTGAACCAAGCTGGTGATGGGCGTGTTCAAAGCGAAATCCAGACGGTGGACTGAAAGTCCTTCCATAGGGCAAGTCCCAGGCGTGTCACTCTGTTTCGCAAACATTCTTCGCAGTGCACCACCTTGCTTCACCCGCCCCCATATCGGCTGTGATTGACGAGAGGTAGGCCTTCGCTTCGCACGACCTCGTTACAACGTCAGATTAACGGTCCAAACTAGATATCACCTGTGAAAGCTGAACCCCATTTCAAGGACCTCGCTATCATCCCTCCCTCAAACTTGTTCACGGAGCTTGTTGCGTATTCTCGTCAGATCGCCATGCTCACACAGCCTAACTAAGCGTGAAAATCCAGAATAGCCAAACCAAAACCTACGAAGGCGCCTACGACCTAGTTCGACCTCGCTGATCCTTTGCGAGAGCTGGGTCGAAGGCCGTGAATTTCGGTCGTGAAATCCCAAGCCGCGGACTTGTTCAAGTGTATTTCCTGTCCGTAACTCCTGGCGAACCAATAAATTCGAGGCGAGCCCTGTTCCGTTGTTCGCTTGAACCCCGTAGCGCCGCTTCGATAATCGTCGCAAGGCGAACATGGACGGCAGAGGCCAGTCTTCGCACGCTCCCAGGCGTCGCAGGAGCTTCGACGGAATTCTTCGCGAGCAGGCCACGGCGACTCCCAGGATCGCACCCACCGCTGTCGCCGGCTCGGATGGTGGCCTGCGACGGCGACAGATAGGCAGACAGTCGCAGCAAACGTCGCAGCAACCGTCGCAGCAGCAGCGCCGCCAGGAGCAGCACCAGCAACAACAACGAGGAGCGGACAGAAAAGGCGGAGACAAAGCCGAAAAGAGCGAGAAGGGCTTGGAGAAGAACGGGAGATTCGAGAGGAGCGAGAGCAGGGGGGGGAGGGGCGGGCGGTGGGGGTGCATCGACTCGTGCTGCTGGACCATGGGCAACGCCGTGTTCCTCTGGTTCCTGCTCATGCTCGCCTATCACCTCATGCCACATCAGCAGATCCAGGCGATTCAGGACGCGCTCGTGGGGCTCCCCGAGGTGGAGCCGCCCGGCGCGCGGCTGGCGGCGGAAGGCGTGAAGGCGAAGCACCCCGTGGTGTTCGTTCCAGGGATAGTCACAGGTGGGTTATAGTCACAGGTGGGTATAGTCACAGGTGGGTTATACTCACAGGTGGGTATAGTCACAGGTGGGTGTAGTCACAGGTGGGTGTAGTCACAGGTGGGTGTAGTCACAGGTGGGTTATACTCACAGGTGGGTGTAGTCACAGGTGGGTGTAGTCACAGGTGGGTGTAGTCACAGGTGGGTTATACTCACAGGTGGGTATAGTCACAGGTGGGTGTAGTCACAGGTGGGTGTAGTCACAGGTGGGTGTAGTCACAGGTGGGTTATACTCACAGGTGGGTATAGTCACAGGTGGGTGTAGTCACAGGTGGGTTATACTCACAGGTGGGTGTAGTCACAGGTGGGTGTAGTCACAGGTGGGTGTAGTCACAGGTGGGTGTAGTCACAGGTGGGTGTAGTCACAGGTGGGTGTAGTCACAGGTGGGTGTGGTCACAGGTGGGTGTGGTCACAGGTGGGTGTAGTCACTTTAAAAGGTGGAGTCGCGCTCCCTCGTGCCCCCTCGCTAACCTGCTGTTCATAGTTACGTGATAAAAGTGATGTTTTGAGACGTCTCAAACTATCGCCTTTATCACGAGCCTCCTCACTAACGTGCTGTTCAAAATTTATCAGTCCCTCTCCCCCTCCCCCCGTTCCGCCCTCACTTAATTTCCATGCTCTATCACTCTCCATTCTTTCTTACTCTCCGCTCCCTCCCCTCACCTTCTCTGCATACCTTCTCGCCCCCTTCCCTCTCACCCACGTGCTGTGGGCCTGTATGGAGCATGGTTGTCTCCCGTTCGCTCCCCCATTCGCCTCCCTCCCCTCCCTCCCCCCCCTCCTCCATTTCCCAGATTCGCCTCCCTCCCCCTCGTCCCTCCTCCTCCGTCTCCCCCATCCCCCATCCTCCCCAGGCGGGTTGGAGTTGTGGGAGGGGCGGCCGTGTGCGGCTGGTCGCACAGTGAACTGAACACCATGTGGCAACGGCAGTCTGTTCAGATCATTGTGCAGTCCTGGCTACTGCTTGCTTATAAGCCCTTGTGAAAATATTGATTCCTCGCCTACCCCCCCAGGCGGGCTGGGGCTGTGGGAGGGGCGGCTGTGTGCGGCCGGAGTGGTCAACGAGTCAGCTCAGCTTATTCATGATTTTCCAAATCCGCGAATTTCCAAACCCGCCTCCCTCCTTTCCCTCCCCCTCCATCCCCCTCATCCCCCTTCCTCCCCTCCCTCCCCCCGAAGGCGGGCTGGAATGGTGGGAGAGGCGGCCGTGTGTGCGGGGCCCGATGATCAAGTCAGCCTAATCATGATGTGCCCCATCCGCCTCCCCCCCTCCATCACCCCCCAGGCGGGTTGGAGCTGTGGGACGGGCGGCCGTGTGCGGCTGGCCTTAGCTTGTACATGATTTCCCAAATCAGCCTCCCGCCCCTCCCTCCTGCGCCATCCCCCCCATCCCCCCCATCCCCCTTCGAACCCCGCCAGGCGGGTTAGAGCTGTGGGAGGGGCGGCCGTGTGCGGCGGACCTCTTCAGGAAGAGGCTGTGGGCAGGAGTGAATACCACTGTGATGTGAACACCCCTGTGAGGTGTCGTGTTGCTTGGTCCAGAACCCTTGTGTGAATGTTGCTCCCTCCCCTCGTCTCCCCTTTCTCCCCCCTCCCCCCCCAGGCGGGTTGGAGCTGTGGGAGGGGCGGCCGTGTGCGGCGGACCTTTTCAGGAAGAGGCTGTGGGGGGGAACCTTTGGGGATGCTTACAGAAGGTGCGTGGGGTCACAGGGGATGTGGAGTGTTGGTCTGTGGGGGGGCTTTCTCACAAAAACTGGCAAACGTTACGCCCTGCTCCCCATGCATGGGGTCCTGACTCCTGACAACAGACTAAGTGCTCCTGCATGGGGACCGGACCCCATGCACACCAAGTACTTGGTGTACACCAACCAGGAAAACGTTTTTGAGGCGCCTCAAAAACTAATTCCTCCTTCGGTACTTGGTGTACACCAAGCAGGAAAAGGGACCTCCTTGCTAGAGCATCTTACCTCTCCTCTCTCCCTTCCCCCCTCCCTTCCGGTTCCCTCTCTTCCCCCAACCCAGGCCCGGCTGTTGGATGCAGCAGATGCTGTGAGACAAGGAGACAAGCCTGGACCTCTGGTAGATGTGTGCGGCCTGTGTCAGGCAGGCATTGTAGCCGGGAACCATTTCTTACCCGGGTACTTTGTGTAGGCGCTCATCATCGAGGTCACTTTTGAGTCGACTCAAAAGTGACCTCCGGTAGATGTGTGCGGCTATGTGGAGAAAAACGCTGGGGAAGCGTTGGTTTCTGCGTTAAAACGCTTGCGTTTGAATGCAAAACGCTGAACTCAGGGAAAAAACGCAAAACGCTTGGCCAAAATGTTTTCCGTCAGATCGGAAACAAAAAAATGCCCGCGCGTGAAATCGACATTCGCGATTTCGTCGCGAATGTCAATTTCGTGAGAAATCAACCCCTCTCAACTCAACCCAAACCGACCCCTAAAAACCAGCCCCCAACCAAATTTTCAAACCCAAAATACTGTGGGAATTTTTCAAATTTCCAGCCCCCACCCCCACCCCCGCCGTCCACCTTAGGCCCGGGTGTTGGATGGAGCACATGTTGCTGGACAACGAGACAGGCCTGGACCCGCCAGGCATCAGGGTGCGGCCGGTGTCAGGGCTGGTGGCAGCGGACTACTTCCTGCCGGGCTACTTTGTGTGGGCCGTCATCATCGAGCAGCTGGCCAAGATCGGCTACGAGGAGCGGAACATGTTCATGGCCGCCTATGACTGGCGCCTGTCGTTCCATAACACTCAGGTGGGGGGGGGAAGGGGGTGGTGCGTGTGTGCATGTGTGTAGGCTACGAGGAGAGGAATATGTTTCTGGCGGCTTATGCCTGGCGTCTCTCATTCTACAACACTCAGCTGGGTGGCAATGTGTGTGTGTGTGTGTGTGTGTGTGTGTGTGTGTGTGTGTGTGTTTGCGTGTGTGTGTGTGTGTGTGTGTGTGTGTGTGTGGGGTGGGGGGGGGGGGGAGGGGGGGTGGGTGTGTGTGTGTTTGTGTGTCTGTGTCTGTGTCTGTGCGCGCGCCACCTTTCACTTCCACAGTTGATTCTTCTCTCTTTGGCCTGACTTGCATATTCCTTGCTCCCTCCCCCCCCATGCAACCATGAGCAGAAGAGGGATCAAACGCTCAGTCGCCTGAAGGCCACCATCGAGATGCCTATGCGCGTGTTGTCTCTTGAGGCTTGAACCTTGGGTATGCGTGTGTTGTCTCTCGAGGCTTGAACCTTGGGTATGCGTGTGTCGTCTCTTGAGGCTCCTCCAAACAAGTGCGTGCATGCGTTGTGAGGTGACATGTGGTTACCACCAGTAGTGGCTTACCTGGATTGGAGTAGGCGCATTATGTTATTATTATTATCACTAATATTATTTCAAGAAACGCCTACCATGGGTGGCTTATGTGTGACAGACTCAACTCCCATCTTGCTTTCACTGATTCACAACCCCTCACTTCTCCTATCCCCCTCTTCCCCCCCACTCCTCCCAAGGCCACGCCATCTTCCCCCCCGTCACATCTCCCACCTCCGGCAGCAACAGTGCCTCACACCTCACGCCATATCCATAGAGCCCCCTCACATCTTGTCAGACCATCCCTCTTTGCTATCTCTCGTTACCCATCCATCCCTATTTCCCGAATCTTTATCGCGGTGCTAGTGCCCCCACTCCATGTGCCCCCACTCCATGTGCCCCCACTCCATGTGCCCACACCCCCACTCCATCCTTTTCCTTCGTTGCCTCCACCCCCCTGCACTGCAGGCAAACGAGGGCAGGAAGGCCGCGGTAGTCCCTCACTCCATGCTGCACCCTCCTCTTCTTACGTCCTCTCCTCTCCACTTCTCACCCCGTGGTACATCTCCCTTTGCCTCCACCTCCGTGCAGACCAACGGCGGCAGGAAGGCCGTGGTGGTGCCTCACTCCATGGGGGTGCTCTATCTCCTCTTCTTCTCCTACTACCTCATGTCCCGCGTCCCCTCCCCTCCTTACGTACTCTCCCTTCATCTGCAGACCAACGAGGGCAGGAAAGCCGTGGTGGTGCCGCACTCCATGGGGGTGCTCTATTTCCTCTTCTTCATGAAATGGGTCGAAGCACCAGCCCCATTGGGAGGAGGTGGGGGTCCGCGGTGGGTGCACGATCACATTCGAGCCGTCTTCAACATTGGAGGGCCTCTCTTAGGAGCGCCCAAGGCGTTCACTGGGCTCTTTTCGGCAGAAGCCAAGGACGTGGCTGCTCTCAGGTGAGAAGATTTCAACCAATACTTGCAGTAGGGGAGGTGGGGGTCCGCGGTGGGTGCACGACCACATTCGAGCCGTCTTAAACATCGGAGGGCCACTCCTGGGCGCCCCCAAGGCGTTCACTGGAAGCAGAAGCCAAGGACGTGGCGGCTCTCAGGTGAGACCATTGCAACCATTGCAGTGGGGGGGAGGGGAAGGACAGTGGGTGCACGATCACGTCCAGGCAGTCTTTAATACCGAATGGTCTCTCCTTGCGGCGCCCAAGGCGTTCAGTGGTCTGTTTTCTGCAGAGGCCAAGGACGTGGCGGCTATCAGGTGAGTTTGCGGCTATCAGGTGAGTTTGCGGCTATCAGGTGAGTTTGCGGCTATCAGGTGGATAATGGTGGAGGGAGCAGGACGGATGAAGTGCACGATGCACGTCCTGCTCTCCAATGAAGTGAGCGCTCTTCAACATTGGAGGGCCGCTCCTAAGCGTTTACTGGACGTTTTTCAGCAGAGCCTGCAGGAGAACCCCTCGTTACTCCCTCATGCATGCGTGACGTGTCTGCCCCCTCCTCACAACCAGAGCACTAGACCCGGGTATGTCCGAGAGCCTGCAGGCGCTGCATTGGGCATTCGAGCATCCCCACCGTTCTGCACCCATCCTCATCTCGCACCCCCATCCACACCCTTCCGTCCTACCCAGAGCGCTAGACCCCGGGGGTGTTTGAGAGCTTGAGGGCGCTGCAGCATGTGATGAGGGTGTCGCGCACACGGGATGCCACCACGAGCATGCTGCCCAAGGGGGGCGAGGCCGTGTGGGGAAGGGTTGGGGAGGGACAACTTTCCTGCTAACCCGCCCTCCCACCAACCCACTGCGACCGTTCTGCACCCACTTACACCCCTCATTACACCACTCCGCACCCACTCTCATCTTGTACACCCCTTTCCACCCCCCTTCCCCCCCCGCCCCTTTTACCAGGGCGCTAGACCCGGGGGTGTTTGGGAGCCTGCAGGCGCTGCAGCATGTGATGCGGGTGTCGCGCACATGGGATGCCACCATGAGCATGCTGCCCAAGGGGGGCGAGGCCGTGTGGGGCAACGCCACGTGGGCTCCCGAGGACTCCTTCAACTGCTCCAAGGCCCGCGCCAAACAGCTGCAGCTGCAGCAGCAGCAGGCGGGGGAGAATGGGGGGAATAGCTCCAAGGCAGGGGGGGATGGGAGGGCGCGAGGGGCGGGCAAGGGGCTGGGCGTGGAGGGGTTTTTACGCACTCTGATGGCGGAAGGGGCGTCATCCTCCGCATCCTCAGCCTCGCGTTCCTCCTCCTCTGCTTCCTCTGCTGCTTCCGCGTCTGCTACCGCTGCTCACTCCGAGGGGTCTGGCGATGGCGGGCGGAATGCCAGTGAGGGTGAGGGAGAGGGTGAGGGGGATGAGGCGAAGGCATCTACGAGGAGCTATGACCTGGAGACAAGCGAGCGGCGGGCGTGGTTTGGGCGCATGGTGAGCCATTATCTGGTTGCACTACTAGTATTGTTTCGTTTAACTTCTTGGTAAAGCTTCTTAGTTTCTGAATCTTGGGAAGCTACGTTCTCATCCCAAGTCCCCCTCTTTTCATCTCTTGTCTCCAGGTGTCATTCGGAGAAGCATCAGCCACACTCTCAGAATCCCTGGTGTGCCCCTCAGGCGCCAAGGCAGCAGCCCGGGCAGCAGCAGCCACGTGCCCTGCCGCCTCCACGTGCCCAGCCACGTGGGGCGGGAAGCAGTACGTGCTCTCCGACCCCTGTAGCTGTGCCATGCGGGATTTGCTGCCCGAGGCCGATGACGAGTACATTGACGAGACTGCTTATAAAGGGACAGAGGGGAGGGGAGGGGCGGAGGGGAAGGGAAGAGCGAGTGCTGGAGGGGAGAAGGGGGAGAATGGAGAAAAGGACGAGTCAGAAGGGAAGGAAGGGAAAGAAGGGAAGGCTCCTGAGAGGGAGAGTCGGCGCAAGCAGTGGCAGCGGCAGCTGGAGGAGACAGTGTTTCAGCACCTGCAGTCGCGCAACAAGTCGTGCGGTGAGGTGTGGACGGAGTACCACGACATGAGCTGGCACGCCCTCACTGACATCGCCAACTGCCCCTTCTACACCGCGGGGGACGAGAGCGACGGGCCGTCTGGCGGCATTCTGGGGCTGCTCAGGCAGGTGGCGCCTAAGACGATGGCACGGGCGGATGAGAACTGGAGCTATGGGATTGCTGAGGATTTGAGTGAGAGGAAGTATGCAGAGGAGCCCAAATACTGGGCGAACCCCCTGGAGACCAGGTGCGTGTGAAGGGGGGGATGAGACGAGAGAAGAGACGAGAGCTGTTGTGCGTGAAAGAGCAGTTGTGTGTTGGGGATCATTTGATGTGAGGGGTGCATTTTGCAAGAGCAGAGGCGCTGCTGAGGCACTTGGCTCCCAGGCAGGTGGCTCTCAAGACCATGTCACGGGCGGATGAGAACTGGAGCTATGGCATCGCGGAGGAGTCACGTGTACCGCTTCTCCCATGCACTCTTGCCTCATCCTTACCCCTCCTCCACGCACACCCCCCTGTCACCCCTCTCGCTCGCTCCCAGCCTGCCCGACGCCCCTGAGATGGAGGTGTACTGCGCGTATGGCACGGGGCTGCTGACAGAGAGGGCGTACGTGTACCGCCTCTCCCCCTCCAACGACACCTGCCTCATCCCCTTCCGCATCGACGCCTCCGCTAATGGACCACCCGGCCAGGTGGGTGGCATGTGCGCAGCTGCATGTGGGGGTGTGGGCTGGTGGCATGTGGACAGGTAGGAATCTGGGGAAGGTGCATTTTGTGGGTCAGTGGCATGTGGGTCATTGGCATGTGGGTCATTGGCATGTGGGTCAGTGGCACGTAGGTTGGCAGCACGGGGGGCACTGCTCAACGGCCTGTTCGCATGAGAGGCCTTGTAAGCACCACACCTTTCTCACACCACATGTAAATCTCGGAAATTTCAAATTCCATTCGGCTCAAAGCACGAGGGGCATGTAAGTAGCCACCTTTCTCACGCCACGGCCCAACTTCACCAGACCACCCTACCCCTCTCCTCGCTCCCCTCCCTTTTCGCAATTCACCTCCCCAACATCTTACTTGATCCTCTCCACATTCCCACCTTCCCAACCTCCCACCATCAGGCGGGGGACTGTCTGACGGAGGGGGCATACTTCACGGATGGTGACGAGACGGCGCCAGTGCTCTCCATGGGTCTGCCGTGTGCCAAGCTGTGGCGCGGCCGCACGCGCTTCAACCCCTCCGCGTCGCCCGCCTACCTTCGAGAGTACGAGCACCGTCCCACCTCGGGGCTTCTGGCGGGCAGGAGCACGCAGAGCGGCAGCCACGTGGACATCATGGGTAACTTTGCTCTCATTGAGGATATTTTGCGGGTTGCCGCTGGTGCCACGGGGACGGAGATTGGTGGGGATCAGATTTATTCGGATATATTGCACTGGGCCGAACGGGTTAGTATAAAATTGTAGGAGGCCGTTTGGTGGTGTTGTCTGGCGTTTGTATGTGTTATACGGTACGTAGTTAGTTTTTTGTTGTGAAGTAGAATGTCAATCGTTTCACTCGTTGTGCACGTACTAGTACGATAAGTTTGGAGATTGCTACGAGATTACTCTCATACGAGGCGGTAAGGTGTTTATCCTTGGACACTCCATAGGTATAGCTATAAATGTGTGTACATAGCGCGCCATTGGAGATTAGTGACGTGTGTGGTCTATACTTGTAAACCTTTTAACTACATATGTATAATATATTTATTGTTTTTGTTTCGTAGTCTGCATTCCGTAAGTTCGAACTTTCGACACTCGAGCACCGTCCACACCTCCATGACGTAAGGGCGTGTAAAGTCGTGCCACAACAAATTTTCGGAAAATCCGTCGGGCCGTTGTTGGCGAAAGTAACCCGTCGACGACGTTCGCTGAAACAATTGCGAGCTTCGGCTATTTCGGAGAAAAAATGCGAAATTTGATGGCTGGTTGAATAGTCGACACGTATCCGACACCATGTCGACTCCAATTCGGCCAAGTAGTCGACACCGTGAGCGACAGTCACGTACGACGTCGCACTGTATCGCATAACCCCAAAATTTGTGATCTCGTCAAATCAGAAAATTTGCCGCCAAACGTGCGACTCCGTCGCCCCTTCGCAACTACTGTAGCAACTGCAAATTTTAAAACTTTTTGCAATTCGGCCATCAAACCTGTAAATTCCGCAAATCTGCAAATAGTGGCTGTAAAAGTGACGACACGAAGTCGACCAATCCGGCGACTTTCGCGAAAGAAATGTCGACCGGATGGTCGACGAAAATCCGGCCAAAAGCAAATTTTGCATGTGTGTGGGGATTTTACACGCCCTAAGTTCAGAACAGCATGACGATACCAAATTGCCCGCCAGGCAGTTCTGTCACGAGACCCAAAGACCATTTCCAGACAGAAACATATTTCTCGTTACTGAACTGAAATGGACCTTCTAGGTTCCAAACCACACCCCGCGAGAGTGCGGCCATGGACGGAAATTTCACAACCCTGAGCTACAGACACACGTACGAGAGGGTAACGAGGTGGAAGTGGAACAGAGAAAAGAGGTGAGCCGAGATAGGCGAGAGTAGGAAGCACAGCAGGCAATAGAGAGCAGAGACCAGCGAGCAGTTGACGCACGCAGAGAGGGACCCACACACACAGCGCCAAGGCAGAAGCCACCGTTTTCAGCAGCTGCAGGTTTTGGATTTTGGCGATTTTCGAATGTAGGCAGGAACGCACTTTCCCAGTCTAGTCCTATCTCCTAAAATAATCTGAAAGCCGAGTCATTATGTCGAGCTTGCAAATCAACAACCTTCCCGACGAGCTCCTCGTTGCGATATTCTGGCCCTCCAAGCATTTCTTCTCCCGCCAGTCCGACGATGACGCCGTGTGGGCGTCCGTGTGGCCTGCCCCGCGGTTTATTCGCGAAAATGCCGACGAGCCGTCGTACCAGGAGAGCGAAGCGTTGTTTCCCAATCCGACTCTACCCCCAGCTTTCGCCGACGCCGCTTATAACCTCCCCGTCGCGTCGGTCTGCCGTCGCTGGCGTCGCCTGGCTCAGCGCCACGTCACCACGCTTCTCGTCAAGGAAAAACGCGACGTCTCTCGCGAGGATCTCTCCGCCGCTCTCAACCGCTTCCCACACCTCACAAACCTGCACCTCAACGACAGCAGCCTGGAGATCATCGACGACGCGTTTCTCGCGTGCCTCGCTTCGTCGTGCCCTAATCTGACGGCTTTCCACCTCGGGGGAGGGATCGAGCAGAACGTGGATGAGGAGGAGGAGGAGGAGGAGGGCCAGAGGTTGTTGACCGGAGCTGGCTTGGACGTTTTCTTCCGCGTGTCAAACATATATGACATAGTCTGTGAAGGCTGTAGTGGGGTAGTCAATATAGGGTACAACACTTTTAGGTTTCCTACTTGTACCCACCTGCTTGCTAGTTCAATCATTCCTTCCTTCACTATTCTGACATGGTATTCTGAGCAGGTTCCCTCGTGGGAACGTTGTTTTTAGGGCCCACCACGATTCAAACTTTTTTCCTGCCCTGCCCGAAGCGCGCCTCACGCCTGCCTCACCTGCGCCGTCGCGGCCCTGCCCTAACGGCCCGTCGCGGCCCTGACCTAGCCGCCCATCGCGGCCTTGCCCCTCGCCGCCTCGTTGCGGTCCTGCCCTGCCGCCACCCGCGGCCCTGCCTTGCCGCCCGTCGCGGCCTACCCTAGCCGCCCGTCGCGGCCCTACCCTGCCGCCCCTCGTCGCGGCCCCGATCTCGCCGCCCGCCGCGGCCTCTGCCCTGCCGCTGCTCGTCGCGGCCCTGCTCTACCGCCGCCCAGTCGCGGCCATGCTTTCCTGCTACCCTGTCGCGGCCCTGCTCTGCCGCCGCCTTGACGCGGCCCTGCCCTTCAGCCGCCCCAGTCGCGGCCCAACTCTACCGCCGCCAAGTCGCGGCCCTGCCCTGCTGCTGCCTCAGTCGCGGCCCTGACCTCACCGCCAGCTGCGGCCCTGCCCTGCACCCGCTCCTGGTAAGCGCGTTGCCCCTGCCCTGCCCGTCGTGTCACCCTAGGGCACGCGCGTCGCCCCTGCCCTGCACATCGCGTCACCCTAGGGCACGCGCGCCTCCCCTGCCCTGCCCGTCGCGTCGCCCTAGGGCCCACGCGCCGCCCCTGCCCTGCCCGTCGCGTCGCCCTAGGGCCCGCGCGCCGCCCCTGCCCTGCCCGTCGCGTCACCCTAGGGCCACCGCGCCGCCCTGCCCTGCCCGTCGCGTCGCCCTAGGGCACGCGCGCCGCCCCCTGCAGCCAGTGCGCCTGCCTCTTGCAGCCAGTGCACTGCCCCTGCAACCCGCGAGCCACCCCTGCAGCCCGCGAGCCGCCTCTGCAGCGCCCAGCGCGCCCTGCCAAACCCTAAAAAAAAAAAAAAAAAAAAAAAAAAAAAAAAGGGAGCCCTAGGTGCTGCTGCCCTAGGAGCTACTACTGCTACTGCTGGTACAGCTGTTACTGCTGCTACTGCTACTACTGCTGCTCCTGGCGGTGGCCAGATGCAGCTCCAGCGACGTCCGCGAGAGTCCCTCACGTCCCAGCAGCTTCGTGAGTAGTACGCTGGTTGGTGTCGTGGCGGTGGCCGTCGTGGCAGTCGCCCTGGAGCTGGTCAGTCGGGAGCCTCTGGCAGTGGCCAGATGCAGCTGCAGCGGCGCCCGCGTGAGACCCTTACGCCCCTGCAGCTTCGTGAGTGGTACGCTCAGAGTAGAGGGTCTCGGAGTACCGTTCGCTGCCCGTACGTCATTCGCACAGGTGAGCGGGCTGGTCAGACTTGCGGGACGGTTGGTCACACGCAGTCCCGCTGCTTCGCCTGTCTGAGCGACGCCTGGCGTACCGAGTGGGGCGATGAGGCTGAGCTCCCCGACTGGCTGGAGCTGCTTAGGCAGAGGGTAGATATCTTTGCTCTTGACTATGATGCTATCCTCACTGCCATGTATGCATTGTCTACTAGTGCTGAGGGTGCCTGTTACCTGTGTGTCCCGCCTGACCCAGGTATCGAGTCTGCTGCTCTAGGTGCTGGTGAGGCTGCTGCTCTAGGTGCTAGTGAGTCTGCTGCTCCAGGTGCTGGTGAGTCTGCTCTCTCTGGTACTGCGCCTGCTGAGGCCTTGCACACCTTCACACTTGACTCCGGTGCTTCGCACTCCTTCTTTCGCGACAGCACCACACTCACGCCGCTCAGTCGGCCTGTTGCAGTCTCCCTGGCTGACCCCTCTGGGGGCCCAGTCCTTGCGCACTCCTCCACGGTTTTACCGTGTCCTGCGGCCCCGTCGGGCTTGCTGTCGGGACTCCACCTCCCCTCGTTCTCTACGAACTTGGTGAGTGGAGCTGACCTCCAGGACGTGTGGGTTGACCAGTTCACCCCTGGAGGTCAGCGTGTGACCCACTGCACTTGCTCTCGGACGGGCCGCCACCTGGCCACGTTCACCCGTCGGCCTGGGTCGAGTATGTACACACTGACTACTGCGTCTCCTCCGGTTACTGCGTCTGGTCAGGTAGCCGCGTCTGGTCAGGTGTTTGCTGCCGCGTCCAGGTCTAGTCCGGCGTCTGCCCCCTGCTCGTGTCGTCCTCTGTCACACGAGACTCTCCTTTGGCACCACCGCCTTGGTCACCCCTCCCTGCCTCGTCTTCGAGGTATGGCCTCCCGTACCCTTGTCTCTGGTCTCCCCCGGTCCCTCCCTCCCCTTCCTGTGTTCCTTGTGTCGAGGGCCGGCAGCGCGCCGCTCCTCACTCCTCCGAGTTTCCTCCGACAGAGGCTCCCCTGCAGACTCTCCACATGGACGTGTGGGGCCCAGCCCGCGTCCGTGGACAGGATCACGAGCGTTACTTCCTGCTGGTCGTTGACGACTACTCGCGTTACACCACAGTCTTCCCCTTGCGCCGCAAGGGTGAGGTCACTGAGGTGTTGATCGACTGGATCCGCGGTGCCCGTCGCCAGCTCAGCGAGAGTTTCGGCTCGGACCTTCCTGTTCTGCGTCTGCACTCAGACAGAGGTGGTGAGTTTTCCTCCGACCTTCTGAGGGCTTTCTGTCGTGCGGAGGGCATCTGCCAGACGTTCACACTTCCGGCCTCCCCACAGCAAAATGGGATTGCTGAGCGCCGCATTGGCATGGTCATGGACGTCGCTCGTACGTCCATGATCCATGCGGCTGCTCCCCATTTTCTGTGGCCGTTCGCGGTTCAGTACGCTGCGCATCAGATCAACCTTCAGCCTCGTGTCTCCTTGCCGGAGACCACACCTACTCTGCGGTGGACAGGGAAGGTTGGCGATGCGTCTGTGTTCCGTGTCTGGGGATCTCGAGATTTTGTCCGCGATACTTCCGCGGACAAGCTGTCCTCCCGTGCCGTTCCCTGTGTCTTTCTTGGGTTCCCCCCCGACGCGCCTGGGTGGAAGTTTTACCACCCCACCGCGCGTCGTGTTC